CACTGGCGATGTGCCAACTGTCCCGGGCTGAACTTCAGATGTGTCGCTCAGTGCATCCAAAGCCAACGTAACGTTGTGCTCAGGGGAAAGGACCGCTATCCCATCAACATGATCGGCCTGTGCTTCCTCACGGCAGTCTCCTTGCTGCAAAGCTGCGCTGGGCAGACGTGAATGACTCGCGGCTTGCTGGTTCGGGACTTCCAAGGGCGCCTAGGAAGTGGAATTACGAAGGGTACTGAATCATGTGCTCTGATCTTGGTTCTTTTGTTCGAGGTCATGTCGCTGGATGTCGGGGTTGTCTGTGCGATGGTGGCGGCCATCGGACTAGGTGCCGCTGCATAGCCGTATTACCCGAGCTGGTAGGCCGATGGTTTCTAGCTTTGTAAGCATTTGTAGGGCAAACGTCTAGTTGCGAGCGGTTCCTGCATGCTTGCGCAAGCACTGAGCCGCTTTCGCGTGCATAGGGTTGCCTAACTAATCGGGCTGTCACGCCAGCTCTATCACTCGGTTTCGAGAAGTCTGCATGTTTTGCCAGTGGCCCCAGATTTCGTCGATGCAGAGGCGAGCTGGTGGTGCAGGCGGCGGTGATCACTTCCTTGTTGACACTGGGCTTGACCTTGTGCCCCTTGTAGTCATCCAAGTTGCAGTTCATGGCCGGTTGGCTGCGACGGGATGGTAGGTACACATTCAAGTCGAAGCGAGACTTCTCCTTCCTGGGAGCTGCTCTATGGCCTTTGCTGTTTGGATCTCAAAAATGGTCAGAAGTCCTCAGAAGTGCAGAAAGCACGGAGAAGTGTTCTGGATCAAGGTTTGGACTCGTTGTCTTCAGCCTCCTTAGCGTCCGGGGCTTGGAGCGCAGTTGCGCGTCCTGCGACATGACATGTTGTATCGTTTGCTTGATTTCGTGCAAGGGGCTGCAGGCAGCCTTGCAAGTGTGAGGCATGCTGAAGAGCAACCGAAACCCCTCAAGCAAAATCAACAGAATACTTTCATGCACGCTGCTTGTGCAGCACATTGAATGCTTAGATTGAGTCCTTGCCTCTTCGATGTTTTCTTGCAAGACAAAGCTGGCCCCAGGTGTTCTTTCCATCGCTGTACATCCGGCTTGTGTGAAGCATTCATAGAAGTGTCACAACCTGGTCGAAGCGAAAATTGTCGAAGCCAGGCAGATGGGATGGACAGGCCTTCTCTTCTCCTTTGCAGGACGGGCGGCACTCCATGCCCACATATGCCCACCATGCATTGTCTCGCCGCACTTTGGGGGTGCTATGTGTTTGCAGCCGAAGGCGCTGGCATCTTCTGTGCCTTCATCGTGTTCGACACGTGGCGAATCCTCAATCAGATGAACTGCGACGATTACGTGCAAGAGATAGCCTCAGGAGCTACATTGAACTGCCACGCTGTGCAAAGCTTCCTGCACGATTCTGGCCAATGCCACTGGGCTAAGGGTGCCATCCAGCTGTATTTGGATATCGTCAACCTGTTCTTGTGCGATTCTGAGAACCAATGAGGAAGAGTCTCTGAGTTCATGCCAGTGCACCTGCTTTCGACTTGCCTCGCCCGCAGGTACATTCTCGAGATAATGGTGAAGATTGCTCTCTCCAAAAGGGACTAGAATGAGCGCTTGGTCACTTCGCTAGACGGCGCTGACTCGTCCCAAGGTTGCACGGGTCAGTTATTGGCCTAAATCCGTTCGGGTGTCTCAGTCTCTCAGAGTCGTGCGCGACATTGTGCGACCCTCCGTTGCTCGGCACAGATCCAGTTTCTGCAGACTCCTTGTCTTCGTAGTTCGTGCAATTCCCAGAGATATATATATGCACGAGTTGTACAAGGAGTCATCGCAGAGGTTACAACTACAACTTCATCTTTATTGCGCAGACTGCGGCAGCGAAGCTGCAGGTACAGTAGCGCTGTTGATGGAGTTGGCATGCTGCGAGGAAAGTAAAGAGGCCTATCAGCGCATCCAGTACGGCGCAACGCGTTGCAGAGTCTTGTGCGCAAGTACTGAATGCCCAGGCCGACGATGCATCCCTCACAGCTGGAGGATGTGAGGCCCGAAAAAAAAATGGAAGTGGAAGCATCTGCTGCTTTGTTCGGGAAGGTTGCAAAATCGATCCCCGTCGATCACATCAACATCCTGGCACTTTGAGGCAGCAGCCTTTGCAGCAACATTCGGCGGCCTCCGCGTCCTGCATCCACATATGCCGTCTAGCCAGGCTGCTCCGGCACCGACCTGCGATGCGAGCGGTCCCAGATGTTGCACGTGGCATACAAAAAATGCATCCCTTACTGGTGAGGCGGTGCGACGAGTGGATATTCAGACGACGGCTGCTGGACCTGTCCCCAGGTGCACTGCTGCTCGGGGCGAAGAGTCGGGCAGATGTCAAACGAACTCAACCACTCCCGGCTCGACTTGTTTTAAAGCTGTGGCATGTACTCGGGAAGCCTCATATGCTCAAGGCAGACACGGCTTCGGTTTGCTGTGTTTCGTAGGTCTGTTCACTCTTCGAAATTAGCATCTGAGCTCTGATGTCCACGGTTGGTAGCAGCACAGGGCCGTCTGGCAGACGGCAATCAACAAACGAGCGGGCAAACCATCTCTGGTCTGCGTATTGATACTGTTGGGCAGATTGTCTAACGAACTAGCGAATGTGTGCATATCTTCTCATCAGTTCCGCTTTAAGTACGGCACAACACATTACAGATTTCAGGCTCGCCTCAATGTTCGAAGCCGTTACGATGAAGCTGACGTCGAATAAGGTATTGGCATGGCAGCTTTTTTGACAGACTGAAAAACCGGCGACGGGTCCACAGGAATTGAACATCAGAAGGTTGCCGGCCTGTGCCACCAGTTCACCTGTCAGATCTTTGAGATAGTGCGCCGTCGCCATCAGGATGCCACAGCGGTCGGGGGAACTGTCCTCAGCGCCATCGTGCATTGTTGCGCCGCCCCACCCCAAACCTTCGAGCTTTTCTTTTGAGGCTGGCCGCATGTCTCCACCGAAAGCTTCGAAAACAAAAGATGCGTCCAGAGAAGCAAAAAGCGATGCACCAAAAAAGACGGCCAAAGACGCCGCCACAGAGGCAAGCAACCCAGGTTGCGGGTTTGTGCTGTTCGTGCGTCGTAACCTTGGGACCCTGCGTCGCTGCGTTTCCACACCCAGGTGACTCCAAGTGCCTTGATGGCAGAGTCAGTGCCCTAAACTCTTAAACTTGTTCACTGTGCTGATGCAAGTACCTGCCGTGTTGAGGTCGGGTTTCATGCCAGAGGCCTCTTGCCTTTCGGACACTGGCCTTGTAGCCTCCGGCTCTGGGAGAACGTCGCTTGCCAAGGTGTGCCCACGGTCACACGGTCTCGGCCATGAGGACTATTGAATGATCTCTGCAGGTGTTACAAACTCATGGATTGATCTTTCCTTCGATGCATGGACGGGTGAAGAATTCAAGGACTGCCCGCTGCTTGCGGGCGTTTTCGACTACTTGGCTGCTGGCCGTGTGGTGCCGCCCTCAGGCTGTGCTGTACTCGAGGAAAGGCATGCCCCAAGGGACACTCGGTGTCAGAAGCTTCTGGCCAGACAAGGAGCTGGCCATGCAGTGCATCTTCAGCTTGGGAAATGAGCAGACACTCCGTGCAGTTCTGCATCGTGCAAAGCTTGGCTGGGCTCGGGTTTCACTCACGGGGCGATCGGATACCACTTTGCCGTGGATAAGGGCTGGACCCAGATGCGGTGTGGCCAGAGCAACCCACCTGAAGCAGAGCCAGAAAGGGTGCAAGTGGCGCAAGAGTGAGTTGTGTGGTGTTGTGTTGTGTTCTGTGCTTTTCATGTCCTGTCCTGTCTGAGACTGCCCAAGCCGGAGGCGCAACATTTGGTCCCGGCCCCAGAGAGCTGATTCGACAGCTGTTCCTGCCGCCTCTCTTCTCCCTCATCTCATCTCTCTCTCTCTCTCTCTCTGTTCGAGGCACGGCTGCTGGTGGCGTTGGTGTGCCGCGACCCCTTTAGCCCCCTGGCAAGCGGTGGCGGTAGGATCCGTTAGGTTTATGCACCGCACCGCAAAGCTACTAAGGCTCTGCGGCGAGTGAGGCTTGCCCATGGCCTCGGCCTCACAGTTTCAGAAGATGGGTCCAGCTGCTCGCTACTCGTACGTGCCGATGCTCAGGCTTGAAGCCTTACTCCGCAGGCCGCAAGGTGAGAACCTGCTCCCAGCAGAGGAGACGACGATTGACGATTGCCCGTCTGTTCGCGCCATAGAAGCCGAGGTTCCAAGGCCCAAGGAGGCTCAGGCTCTCAGGCTCTCACCGAAGTCGGTGCGAGCGCGTGGCCGGCCGTTCTGTCAGGAGCTCCTCTCACTGCAGGGTGCCCTTTTCAGCGCCTCTGCGGCGAGGAACTTGGCCTCCGCACAGGAAGCACCCTGTCTTCATGTCACTTGAACATAGGTGGGTGGCGACGTGGGCCCATGCGCCGCCCGGCTCTATTTCCGGCTCTTCCAGCGTCAGGCGTGTGTTTGTTGCGGTGTGCTGCCCGCGTCTCTCCTCAGCTTGAGCATTGCCTGGCAAGGCCCAGGCATCAGCTTCCTGCCCCCAGCTGATGTTCTCAAGCTCGAGAGCTTCAGCCCTGCGAGGGGCTCGGTGCAACCAGGTAGAGTGTCACAGTGCCAGCATCGAGCTGCAAGGCCAGTTACGCTGCCACAGTCTTGTCCCTGAGCTGTACGAAGCGAGTGCCGAAGGATGCACAGACCTCTGCGAAGAGGTCGTTTGTGCACATGAAGTTGTGTTTGATGGAATCCTAGAGGGGGATTTAAGGGCTAATGATGTCTCACTCTGCACATTGCCTTGGAGTTCTTGTGTGTGGCTGAAAATGGCCGCATGTAGAGCACCAAGTTGTACAAACGGCTCCACTCAAGTCACTCTTGAACAGAAGCCTCGCCCCATCCAAAAGCTTTCCGCCGGAGTGTTGCTTCAGACAGATGCAGGCAGTTTGCGCTTTCTGCTGACATCCAAGGTGCTTGTGGATTGGGAATGGCGGTGGGCGAGAAGATCTTCGCTTCGTAGAGGATGGAGGATTCGACGGGGCGTGCCTTCCCCCTTCCGTCCAAGCGTCCAAGCGCAATGCAGTGAGCCGACACCAGCTCCATTCGTGCATTCTCCTGCTCTGAGGCTGCTCTCCCTCCCCCTCCGAATCCGCCGCTTCCCCTTCCCGCGGATCCCCTCCATTTCTCCCTTTCTCGGGACCTAAAGCTTCACTGGGACGCCCGTTTGGGTGCAGTGAGTGTAAGTCTCGACGGTCATCGGCCGAGCAAGGACTAGGCTAGATATGCTGCGGCTGTCGCTTGTGAGGGTTGTTGGCAACAGTCGTGACCAGCGTGACATTCGGATGCCGAAGCACTGCAGACGAACAAGTGCCAGGTATACCTACTTTGCTGCCGAGGGCTTCACGCCAGGCAGCTTGCCCAAATCTGCGTGTTTGCACGGAATTGTACATGGATGCGCAGCTGTTGCCAGCCAGGATCCAACACAAAAAGTTGGAAAGACACTGCAGCGCCAGCGTCTGAGTTGAAGTGCACGTGACTCCGCCGACGGGCATTCGGAGAAATTGTCGCGGGTGAGCAGCAAAGCATGCCTCAATGCCACTCGAAGCGAAGCATCGCCAAGATTCAAGCCACTTCCCAACTGGTCTCGGTAGCGGAGCTTGAGCAGCACGCAGCATACTCTATTTAGCGACACGCTTTCCAATCACAATCACGGATTACACGAAGATTCAAGTTTCGTTTGAGGGTGTGCGATCTAGCATCTAGAGAAGGTGTACTTCGTGCGGTGCTCACTGCTCACCTGCCATGCATTGGCGAAGATTGCAAATGCAATCGTTCGACGGCTCTTGCCTGCAAGCATCTGAAATCCGTGTGGACCGAGGAGACTCAACAAGCTTGGCAAGCTTTTTGTGCCGTCAGTTGGTCCAGGGTGCACCCGGCTTGTTTCTTGTGCAGTGCTGTGCGAAAACAAAATAATCAACTTGCACAGTTTCTTCGGCGCATTGAATTTGAGGTACGATGACACGCGGGTCAGACCCTGGAATTCGCACAACATTCGAGAAAGGAAGGGCGGGGAGTGCGACGCCCTCGCCAGTAGAGTTGACCGCTACAGAGCTTCACCTGGCAGACTCTGTCGTGGAATCGTGCTTAAGTTTCTCCGTCACCTGGTTTGAGGTACTACAACCGCATGTGGTCCGCAGCAGTGGGCAGTGACTTGACGAAACATGCAAAGCTTAAGTCAATGGGCATGGCAGCACACGTTGATGGCAACATGGCTGGCATCAAGCCAGGTCGGCCTTATGCTGTATCAGCCTGGTCACCTAGACTGCAGACGCCGAAGGCCGTCCCAGCGCCCATTCGATGTTCTCTCAATGTTTTGAGGTCACTTCCTACAACGAGTGGGGCGAGGGCACACAAATCGAGCCTGCGAAGCGCCATCGCTCCTGGAAAGGCATCTTGCCGAGCGACAGAGCGAGCGAGCACTCTTATGCCAGTGGCACGAGTCCAAGCGACGTTTCAGGAGCGAAGTACGGCAGCTACGAGCCCAAGCCGTCGTTGCCCTAACGGCCCCTCTCAGGGCAGGCCCTCTCAAAGCCTTTCGGGGTGAAGCCTCCCAGGAGCACGTTCTACTTGACGGAGACCAAGCGATGGTCAGACCAATTCAAGGCCGCACGCATGGATTGGATTTTGATTGCAAGCCGATCCAAACAGCCGATAATCCTAATGGGTGCGAATCCTTCCTGGGGCAGAGTGTGTGTCCCAGCCAGAGTAAATTGTCAGGTGTGGAGTGCAAGAGGGTGGACAGTGGATAGGGCGGGCAATGCGGCTTCGGGTGTTGCTTTCCGATTTCTGAAAGTGTTGGTTGGTTTCACGGAAATACTTGCTGCCCGTGGATTCGCGATTCAGGGTATTATGGACAAAACCGGCAAAGCGTTGAGAGTGTCGGGAGCGTGCGAGGTGTAGCTTCACCTAATGGTACGTTCGAGACTCCGCTTGACCTTGAGATGGCCCAGCTTGCGCTCGCGATTGCACTCAAAGCCAAAGCCCCCAGAGATGGCCCGGACTTCCTTGCGTTCGCCATCTCATCGCCCGAACGTCTTCGCCGTGCACTTGCGAAGCGTTGCTCGAGTCTGGCGGCGCAAGGCCTAGCTTCTGACTGGGTTGGAGAGGCCGGCACTTGTAGTGAGAGGCAGGCGGCAGACCTAAAACTGCTCGTCTCGTTTTCCGCCTCCCGTCGTGCCCTTGCGTACCCCCTCCTCTCACATCATCTTTTTGGGTTTGGGAGGCAGGGCGTGGGCTGCAGAGTGTTCTCGAATGTGGAACTAGCAGAAGGACTAGCAGAAGGGAAGGTGCGATCCAGTGTTCAGCCGAAACTGGGTAGAGAAGGGAAGCACGCATTTGCCGTGTCTAGCTCTACTTCCCTTCTGATGTGCCGGCGAGCTGTTGCTCTGTTCCGCCTTACCAGGCAAGTCAAGAAACCCAGTCGAAGCTAATCTAACTGCATCGGCCTGTCTGCAGTGTGTTTGAGCTGGACATTCGGAGCTGCACGGAAAGCTGTACATCGGTACTGAGTCTCCTGTTTCCCAGCTCGTTGTTAGCGCAGCATGCCTTGGGCAGGAAGATCAATGCCGCGAGGAGAAGACTGAGCTTTAACCTGAAGCTTGCACCGAGTCCCGTAGCAAGATGCTGGGTATCCACTCTCCTCCGCGTGTGCTTGTCCGATCCCTGGGATGAGCACACAGGAATTGTACATAGCCCACTCGGTATGTGGAATCCACCTGCGCTTCCCCAAACGCCCCTTTCTAAAGCGTGCAGCTTCACGAGACTTTGGCTTTGGTGCGGAAGCGTAGTATGAATGGATTTTGCGCGAGTCGCGATCTTGATAACCTGCTGATAAGGCAGGGTTCCAAAAAGTTGATTAGGGATGCCAGACGAGGATCCTTTGAGCTGATACAGATCATTCAGGTAAGATGTGACGGATGTCAAGCCAACTGGGGTTCATCGCTTGATGTGACACTTCTTGACTTGAACTCAGAGAGCCGACGATGAGTAGACATTGTTGCATGAATCTGTAGGATGTTTTTCTTTTGCTGTTCGCCAAGCGCTGGAACAGGTTCATCGCCACCTAGACCGGCAGAGCAGCCGCATATTAATATTTCGTTTCAAGTTCTTTGCACTCTGCCAGGCTTTGACTAGGTCAACTTGTCTTCCTTGGCCGGCCATGACCGGTGCTCTTCCAAGTGATGCGCTCCTACATACCCCGGTCGGTCAACGGCTACCACCCATGGATCGCCAGGAGGGTCACAGTGGGCCGGGACAGTGCCGTGTCGTGTAGATCCATGCAGTGCTAGGAGACGACCGGGGAGAGCTACAGAAAGCGCCAGCAGCAACGCTCCATCATGGCGGTGATGGATCCCTACAATCCCCCGGCATCGAAGAAGCGTGCCACTGGGCTACTAATTACAGGCTATGCTTCTGTCGGCTTGCCATTGGTGGAGCGAGCTTTCCGTGACGGTAGCTGTGCACCTGGCGCCGAGGCAGATGCAGGTCGTCTCAGCTTACGAGACTGGATCCTTGGCCACAAGACCTGGTAGCGTGGCATAGCGTGGCTTTGTGCGACTCGATCATGGTGGTGAAGCAGTGCGCAGGGGCTCCCCGCTTCTCACTTCGGTCAAATGACTGCGCATGGAAAACCAGGAAATCCTGGCTCTCCGCATTTTCGGCTGCAGTCCCGCTCTTCTTGCTGCCTGGATGCAGCCAGAAGCTTTGGGCACGTGAGCATTGACACTGTGAAGAGACAGCTTTTCCCGAACCTGTTCTGCCCCATGCTTCCCGGGAGCCCCGACCCCGAAAGTGTAGTCGTGTCGCAGCGCTGTCTCTTGACATCCTTTTCGGAATTCGCCCAAGGCTGAGCTACTCCTCCTGCGTGTCGTATGCTCATCTCATTGTTTCGGGAGCCTACGGCTATCCGATTCGTGCTGCCAGGGCCTGGAAGGGTTTTCGCAGTGCATGAGCTCAACAAGCGCGCCATGGGATCCCAGGTGGTGATAACTTCGATGCATTTGTTCAGCAGCGGTCTGACGGGCCTGATCTTGCCGATGCGGAGCGCCATGGCAATCTTAGCACCATGCAGTGGCAGCCACAGCATCTTGCAAGCCTCAGGCAAGTGCCCGTTGATCATTCCATCAGCAGATATTTCCGTGACGATGTTCTACCAGATGATTGCCGGGAGCTTGCAAGACAATGATACAGATGCAAGCCGATGCTGACGATGTCTTCAGGTCATGGACATCGTCAAGGCCGCCGCTGACGACGGCACTCTTTCGCCGGAGGCGGGAGTCGCTCGGCGGCCCCAAACTCCAGCCTCCCCAAAGATTCCTCGTCACAGGCGGTGGCTGCAACCGCCATGCTGGCACTGCCTGTGAACACTATCCTCATGAGCCTGGTCTTCTTCCTGGTGGGGGAGCATCTCGTCTGAGTCTGCCATGCCAGATCCTCGCAGGGTTTCGAAGCCCAACATCAAAGGCAGAAAGCGACAGTCATTGTCTCCTATCTGCCGTACCCTGTGGTTGCGGGCTTCCTGGGCTCCATAGGCCGTTTGACGATGTCTGACGCAAGAGCTTGCTCACTCGCGCAATACACGCATTTCTTGAAGACGTGACTTCTGAAGGCTTGGCCATCTTTGTTGGGGCATTTGCAGTGCTGGAGGCAGGGATCTCTGACCCTGTTCCTCTTGCTCATGTGCCTCCTGTCTGATGTGAGGATGGGCTAAGCGGCTTCAGTGGCATCGCCCAGGCCCGAAGCATGACTGTGTCAGCAACGTGCCACGTATCTTGTCACAGGCTGCCCATGACAAACCTTGGCCGCTGTTCTGCGCGGTAGGCGCAATCTCTGGGAGCGAACAGAGACGGTGCATGCGAAGTGTTTCTAGTCATAAGAGCGGTCAAGGCATGGCACTCAGCTCCATCTTATTGAAATACGCCGGACTCCCTGCCCGAGCGCCTTGGACAAATCGCATCTTGGATCCTTTTGACCAGGGATCCCGCCAACAGCAGTGAAGGTACTGGCCGTGGCACCAACCCTGACCACCATGGTGCCCGGGACTGCAGCTTAGAACACTCGATGGGCACTTGCACTTGCACTGCTGTGGAGGTCGTCTTCTGGCTTTGTGTTGCCTTCTCCGGCGTGTCCTTGGAGGAGATCAGAGAGGATCGGTGTGCTGTTGGACGCTGTTGGTGAGCTGTGCAAATTCCAAACTGAAATACTGCACTGAGGACGGTTGGCTGTTCCCAGCAGCGAGTTTCGAACCCTTCTGGTCGATATGGACTGCCACGGGCCGAGAAACCAGGACAGCCAAGGGGTGCACACTTCCAAAGTTGGTGATTGAGGAACAACATCCAGCAAAGGTGGTGCTGCAACTTGGCTGCTCAGATCGGGTTTTGTGCAAACATCGGTGCGCACCTTTAGAGAGGGCTGCAAAATGCTGCAAACTCACCTGCGATGAACGACTCGACCCTATGTCGTGAAAGGATCCCCCGCTCCCCGCGCTGCCCTGCTCCCCTACCCCTCTCCAAAGTGCGGTCGGGAGGAGACCGGAGAAAGGAATCCCATGAATCGAAGGCGGCTCCGTCGAGAGAGGATCGTCGGAACGGGCCGTGTTTAGAGCTTACAGTTTGCGACGCACCCCTCCGAGACAGACTTCCTCCAAGTCGCCATTCCGTCGTTTTCTCAACATTGACATAGGCTTCGCTCATGTTTGCGGTGCTGCTTCACTTCGAGTCTTGATGAAGCTGAAAGTGCGAACATGAGAACAATCGCTTTCTCGCTGCGCAGTGTGCTATACTCGGAATTGGCTCGGTCGGCACTTCAGCTGGGCAGGGGAGTTCCGCAGGCATTTGCTTCCACCCAAGTTGGCCACATTCCTCGGCGGGGGCCCCCAAACTGTCGCGACACCACAGCTTGGAGACTTGTGGATGCTTAGATTGATTGCAGGTCTGGGGTTTGTCCTGATTCTTTCGTTGACACTCCGTATTGCGGGCATCGAGGCTCAGACGTGTGGACGGACGTTTTTTCAGCCAAATCCTTCGTCATCTCTTGGCACTTTGCTAGGGCTCAACCGGTTACATGATTGGTGTGGACGAAGAGGCGCTGCCTCCGTTCTCTGTGATCCGTCCCCTTCGCGGCTTCACTGTTGCGTTTCGCTTAGTTGCGGCGCGTGTGTCAGGTGAAATGGACGGGCATAGCCAGTGGCATCGCAGGCTGTTGTGGAACGGTCTGGTCCTCCTGATGTGGAAATTGCAAGAGCTCAATTCCAAGAACTTGAGACTCTGCTGAGGTGATTGGGTCGCACTCTCCTGGCCTGACGACCTTCAACGCGGCAGCTTACCCAGCGCGCTCAATTCACTGCACCAAGAACTGCCAGTAGTCCGAGTGCTGACTAGGAAGCTGGAAGTACCACGTTGCAGGCTGCAGCACGCATCTCAGCACCGGTGTCTGTGACGAAAGCGGCGACCGTTGGCCACTGGCTCTTGTTACTTGTGCGTCCAGGTGCTGACAGCAGCCCTGCAGCTGGCTTTGTGGCTGTCTGGAGCCGGAGCCCTGAGCAGCTGAGCACCCGCTCCGCATGCCTTCGAAGATACAGCACTCGGATGCTGAGCTAAGTTCCCCGTGATGAACTTGTTCCCGCGGCCGGCATCCCAAATGCTTTGCATCGTTTCGGCAGGAGCTGTGAAGGAATGGCAACTCGCCAGGTTCTTGCTTTCTGGCATCTTGATGAACTTGGGCTTGGTCATGCTGCAGGAGTGCAGGGCTTCTTGCACCGAAAGTTCGAACGACTACAAACACAGCCTGCAAGTTTGGTCCGAGTTCTGCTAGTTGCGGTATCTTCGCAAGGTTGCTGGCTTCGCAGTGCACAGTTTGAAGAGTGGTGAAAGGTGTAATATGACTAATACGGAAGGTTCTTGATCGATGCAAATCGCATTCGATGCCGGCCGAGAGTGAATCATCCACCTGAAGTCTGGTTTGGCTGTGAAGAGTATTTTGCAGGGAGTCGACCTCTAGGCGACAATACAGTGTGTTGGGAGAGGGGAGTGTCCAGGCCAGTCGTCAGACTTGCGTACATGGATTTCCGGAAGGCTGAAGACAGACGTACCGGAAGCAAGTTGTCTTGCGACATCATCCTCCTGCAGTGGGAATTGCAACATGCCCTTTTCTGCAACCGTAGTCTTGCGAGTAACGAGCAGCCCGTCCACAATTAAAGGATGGGCTGTCCGATGGGGGGGCCGAGGCTGAGGGTTTCCTTCTCTAACTGGCTTGTCGGCTTGAAGCCTGGGGTTCTCCTGCGGAAATTCGTCACCTTCTCCCGGTATGGTTCCTTTCGGCTCGTCTGCTGCCTCCCTCGCAGGTTTTGTTTCCCGGACTCTGGGCTTCTGCCAAAGTTTTGGGGAGGAGTTAGGATGAGCATCGCGAGGATGCTGGCGAGAATTTCAGCAACAGGTAGTTAGTTGAGGTCACGGGAAGGACACAAGGCGATCGAGCTCGTGAAGCGTTCGGGAAAGACTGAGGAAAGGAACCTGCATCGAAAAAAACATGGGTTCGGACCTGTACTGGTGGCCTTGGTACCTTCCGAGTGTTGAAGATTGGCTTCACCCCTCTTGGCCACTTTTTTGCTTTCTTGCTTTTTTGCGGGTTTTGGTGGGTATATATAATACTACAGTGGGCTTGCGTTTGTATAGGATGCTACAATACTAAATGCCTACCCTATCAATTAACCCCTAAAACCTAAACCCTAAACCCTAAACCTAAACCCTAAACCCTAAACCGTGGAACCCTAACGAAGCTGCTGCCGTCCTGGGACGATCGCCACTGATCTAGCCGGGGGGCTCAGGGCGGGCTGGTTTTTGGATTTAGAGCTTGTGGGGTGAATCTTTTAACCCTAATTCCTAATTTACTGAAACCCTAGAAACCTAAATCCTAAACCTAATTAAGCTTGATAGTAGTCAGTAGTATCAACAAAGCGCCGAAAGGCGATAATCATGCGCCGAAAGGCGATAATGCGCCGAAAGGCGATAAGGCGCCGAAAGGCGGTAGTGCGCAGAAATGCGATAATGCACCGGATACACTAGTAGACTTAGATTAGGCTTTAGGGTTTCGGCTCTAGGGTTTAAGTTGTAGAGTTTAGGCTTTAGGGTTGGATATTAGGGTTTAGCCTTTAGGGTTTAAGGTTTGTGTGTAGGATATTAAGGGTTAGGGGTTCTTCAGGCCTTGGCATCCTGGGGTGTCTGTAGTCATATTTCTCTCCGGGGGGTATTCTTCCAAAATCCTAAAACCTTAACCCAAAATTCTAAAGGGAAGTAGGGCTCAGATTCCCACGGATTACCGCCTGTAAACCCTTGGCCTGGGCCCCAAACTTCCTAACCCATACTCACTCTCTCGCTCTCGTCTCTCTCTCTCTCTCTCTCTCTCTCTCTCTCTCTCTCTCTCTCTCTCTCTCTCTCTCTCTGTCTCTCACTCTCTCTTTCTGTCTTTCTCTCTTTCACTCACAACATGTATATGTATATATAATATAAATATAAATATACAAATATAAATATGTAAATATAGATATACATATAAATATAAATACATATAGAAATAAACAATCAAATAATATATATATATATATATATATATATATATATATTTGCATTTCATGACTATCGCCTGTCGGCACTCTGTCGGTGCTTAATACTTAAACCCTATGTATATGTATGTATATATATATACATATGCATATATGCATATATGCATATATGCATATGTATATATATATATATATATGTGTATGTATACATATACATATTTTATAGCCTAAAACCCTACAGGATAAACCCTAAGCTGTAAATGCAAACCCTAAAACCTAAAGCCTAAACCCTAAACCCTAAACTATCACCCTACTACAGCCTGAACTTTCTCAGGTCTGGTGCTTTCTTCAGGATGCATCGCGATCTCATCCATGTCGCAGGCCGGACAATTTGTGGCACTTTTGGCATCTTTCAGTGCACAGCAGGCTTTGGAGCCTGCTTGTTTGAATATGAATGTCATGATGCCCACCCTGCTGCCCATCCCGACTGGTCTGACTTGGTTGGAGGCTTGGACAAGCGAAGGAGCCGAAGGAGGCCACTTGGGTATTTAGGTGGCTGAGTCAAAGGGCATGTGTAGCACGTAGGGTTTAGGGATTAGGGTTCGCGGCAAGGCGCTAGTGGGTGGGTTTTCATTAGGTTCGCCAGGGCTGTAGTTTTTAGTGGTCTATCGCCGCAAGGTGCTAGTGGTTGTGGGTTGATGTTCGCTGCAAAGTGCTAGTGGGTTGTTCGCTGCAAAGTGCTAGTGGGTTGTTCGCTGCAAAGCGGTAGTGGGTTGTTCGCTGCAAAGCGGTAGTGTGTAGTTCGCCGCAAGGCGCTATTGTGTTACTGTTGAGATATTTTTTAGATCGGGTTTAGTGTCTATGGATTTGGGATTTGGGCTCCAGGGTTAATTAACATTCAGGATTTAGGCTTTATATACTTTGAGGTCTAGACTTCAGGGTCTGGGCTTGGGGGTCTAGGCTGTAGGGCAAACCCGAACCCGAAACCCTGATAAATCCTATGTATGTGAGTGATGGGTTCGAATGGGGATGCAAGGTTGCTTGGCATGGGGTGAATGGGGTCTGCCGGCTTTGGGCGGTTTGGGTTTGGGATCCTGATTGTTTTGGTCTGCAGAATGATAAACAAGAGCCATGCAGGCGTTGGGCACCCAGATAGTGGGTTCGCCGAAAGGCGCTAGTGATAGCGGACTCTCTGGATCAAATATTCCCCCAAACAGCGCCCAAACCTCAAATCCCTTGGATCTTCAACCACATTATACTCTGAGATTCCCTGGACGAATCTGCTGCAGACGAGCAATCATGTAATGAGAAATCCCCCACCCCCAGCCAGCACGTTCAATAGATGCGGGGCTCCAAACCCTAAACTCTTAAACCCTAGGCCCTAAACTCCAAACCCCTGAACCCTAAACCCGCGACACTCAGGCCCGGCTTCATCTTCGACGATCTTCGCCTGTCCGGGTGCACATGGCAGGACTCCTGCTGCACTCCTGCTGCATGAGTGATTGCAAGCTAGGGCTGCCTCTCACTTGCGACCGCATTGCAATCTGCTGCAACCTGTGGCTCCGTGTCTGTGTGTGTGTGTGGTGGGCCTCTAGCTCGGGATTTACGGGTTCGAAGTAAGGGCCCTTCTGATATATAATATATCAGGGTTCTGCAAGAAGGGTCCCGAATTGAGGGCCAGGCCCATACCTTCAGGAGTTTTCTTCACATTGACTGATTCCTTATAGCCCCGGCGACTCCAACCCAGACCCCTTCCAGGGAGTACAGGGCATTAGGGCCTGGGTGGCTCGATGAAGCCTCATGGCGTCGCTCCTCGGGACTGGTTTGGGCAGCGGGGGCAAGGCCGTGTCCAGAGGCGTGCTCGTGGAGAGTACGGCCCTCTGAACCCGCCACAGGTGGTAGCCAGTTTGCAATTGGCAGCCTGATTAATTTGTCTTAATAAGTAAGGGTAATATGTCTTGCCCTGCTCTATTTTCCAACAATGCTCCTGCAGATCCCAGCTCGTCCGCCGGCGCCTGCATCTGGAGCTCGGGTTCCTGCTGATACTGCTCCTGCTGCCACCACTGATGCATCTTCTGGAGCTCCGCTGTCTGCGGATGCTGCTGGTGTTGCCGATTCATCGCGTGGCACGGTGCCTTGACGAGAGTGGCTAGCAGCAGCTTTTGTGTTGGGTTCCCTACGGATTTTGCTTCTGGAATGGCTAGGTCTTCTTCGGGTTCGATTTGATCGGGCTCTATTTTGCTGGCTGAAGTAGTCAATCCAGGAGTCTCCAGCCCCGGCGGGCTCAGCTGCGCAGGCTGCAGAGAGTGCCTCTTCGGCCGACCCAGGAGGTCCCGGTCTTCAAAACGTAGCATACTCGCTATCACGGGTTACAAGGTAGGGGGTAGGGTTCTGGGGCTTGCGATTTCAGTCTTATCCCAAGGATTAAGCAATAAGGATTTAAAGTAGAGTTCAAAGAACTCTGTCGCAGGCTCTGCGGAAGCTGGTGTCGGCGTGTGCACTCCGCCGACGACGATTGCACCTTCTTCCGATGAGGAAGAGGCACCGGCGGCGTCATCGTCTGCACCGAAGCCGGATGAGCCTGCTGAAGAGTGGCCCTTTCGGAAGTTGGCCAACATCCGGCGCACAGACTCTTGCCTGAAAGCTTCAATCTTTCCTTGGTTATATTTTGAATCAACACTGATTCAATAGACGCCCTCCCTGAGCCAGCCGTACTATTCCCGTACTATACTGCAATCTCTTCGACAGATAGCCACACAAAGCAGCTTAAGACAAGATTGTATATCAACCAAACCTTTACTGAGCATCGACCCTGATCCCAAACTCCCCTGCCAGGAGCAGCTGCCCTATGGATGGACGAAGGTCATGCTGGAGGATGGCCACGCATATTGCTTCCACTCCAAGGCCAAAGTCTGCTGCTGGCATGTGCCTCAGGTGATGGATGATTCTGGGATTCCACTTAGCAAATTTGCTGGTCGGAGTGCAATAGGGTTGGGTTGGGTCGGTTTTTGGGGCTTCTCAATTGTGATGTATGCATTTCACTAAGGGGCTTCCCGATGCTGAGCCGCTTCCGCCCGGCTTCGAGCCGTGGGAGCTCTGGGACCAGTGGGGCTCGAGCAGAACCCTTCGACACTGGTTCAACCCTGTGACTGGCTCGGTGGCTGCCTACCACGTCTTCGAGCCTGGGTTGATATGACAGAAAGCTTTGACTTCGAGCTGATAAGGTGGGCCATTGATTTTGGAGGGGATCGCTTTGGTGGTCAGTCATGGGCCCTTCTCCACCTAAGGCAGAGCTCTACGAGCGCAAGAAGGCCGAGATGGAGGAGGCCGAGATGAAGCGGCGTCGCGAAGTGCAGGAGGCTCGCGATGCTGCTGCTGAGGAGGCTTTGAGGGGGAAGCGCCGGAAGAGGAAATAGATTAAATAGATTCATTAAATAGACTTCCGGCAATGAACAAAGTAGCATGTCAGCCATAGGCTTCTTTCCTCTTCTGGTGGTAGTCTTCCGGTAGATGCAGCCGGTAGCCGCTAGCGAAGCGCAGATGAAGCATCCCACGGCCCGCATTATATAATACTGACAAATACTTCTCTGTATCTATAAATATATACACACATATACATGTACATATGTATATTAATATATATATATATTTATATTTATATTTATATTTATATTTATATTTATATTTATATATATATATATATATATACACGAATATAATACATATAGATAGATAGATAGGTAGCTAGATAGACACACACACACATATATATATATATATAGAGACAGCTTGGTCTGGGTCCATGCTTCATCCGGCAAAGCTCCTTTTGCTGCCGTCTGCTCTTGAAAAAAACAATGCTTCAGGCTTCAATTGCAGCCGATGACAATGGGGTGTTTGTTGGGACTTCAAGTCTGACGGTCATTGTGCGGCTTCGGTGTGACGGTCATTGTGCGGCTTCGGTGTAGGTTAGCCGTGCTGAGTGCAGACTGTCTGGAGCGAATCGTTTGCTGAGTGCACCCACTGAAAATCTCGATTTGCAGGACCAAATCCTGCAATCCTCATGGAAGCCCCGCACTCAGTCAGTGTGACCAGTGTTGCAGGCGGCGTTCCGGCTTTGCCAAGACTGTAGCCACTCCCAATATCATGTGCTGCATTCACTTGCGTGCCTTCCTCTTGTAGCCTGATGAAGATGATCCCTTAAACTTTGTAGAACCTCGTACCCGCAGCGTTGGCAAGGCATGAGAAGGGTTAATACGAACACGCCGAGGTCTGGCTTCATCGGTTGCTCCGGAGTCGGGGCCCTGCTTCAAGAGTGAACGGATGGAGAGGTTGAGCCTTCAAGCCGTGTCAGTTTCAGCTGTGTGTTGCAGTTCTGATCGTCCTGCCTTCAACATGTTCTGGAAGCTGCCATTGTACTGCTTGCCCCATTATTGGACCGCTGATCTAGTCACTAGTTCTGAGTCACTGGTGTCTTAGTGAATGCACCAGGTCCGTGCACGGCACTTGACCTGGGAGCTTTCAAGTGTGGATGGCCTGGGCCTTGTCGTCGGTTGGGCTGTACGTTGGCTTTTAGTTATAGGGTATTCGTGGCTAGAAGAATACTCGTAGGTTGAATGGGGATTTCTTAGGAGGTTAGGTTCAAAACTTCCCTTCTTCCTTTGCCCCATCAAGAGAGTACCAAAATACCTTAAGTGGGGAGCCTAGCACCTAGTAGCAGCCCTAGAGGCTCTTGTCTCCTGCCCTCTTGTTTGGGTGCTTGACCGTTAGCTCTCTGTGTGAAGCTTCCAGTAGACTCGGCATCAACATTAATTTATTTTGTTTTCACTTCTCTTTGATCCCAGCATGCCATATACTCGGTTGCGGGCTCCTGATGCTGCTTGCCTAAGATGTGACACCCTGGCACGCACTTCTTGCAAGAGGCGGCCGTGTCTTCGCTCAAGTGTGCTGCTTGCGTCGCCCGTTGCTGTCAGCCCTGAGCCATCATGTCCTCGTGGTTTGTGGCTATTCGACAGAGTCAGTGGGACGCCCTTTGGATGGATCTTGAGTTTATGGAGCTTGTAGATGTCAAGATCCAAGGGCCCGTCATGACGGCTAGTCCCCAGCAGGCAGTGTTCGCAACTCGAACAGATTGTGTAAGAGTATTCTTTTTGGTCATTGGCCGAGAACCCGAGGCTTTATTTGGGCTGGGTGTCCAGTCCTTTGAATTGAGGGATCAAGATGGTTTGAATTTACGATTCCTTTATGAAGTTGACCTTCTTGCAATATTCCTGAGATCTGAGGAGGCTCTTTTCTCCGAGGGCAGACGTCTCAAGCTCAACATCTCCCAAGCTCACGATCGAGCGGTGACCATGGCGGGCCACGTGAGCAAAGAGCTTCCGAAGCACTTCGTCCTCTTGCACATCACAATCAAAACAACCGCAGCAATGACTGCCTTTCCGGAGTCCAAGTCTGGCCGCATTTTGCTTGGAGCTCTGCATTTCGGAGTGGATGATCGCAATGGCCCTGCCAACCTTCGTGGTCACTTCGGGTTGCTGTCCCCGAATTGGGATGTGTGCATCAGGACTCATGAGTTGGCGTGTGGTGTCAGCCCCGTGTGCTATGCCTTGAATGGCTCCCTGGGAGAGGTTACGCATTGGAGGTTCATCGTGGTCATGGAGACCCCGCCTGATGTGACCGCTGTGGCCAAGACTCCGACCGTGTCCGAAGTTCCGCACGGGGTGCTTGGCATTGGCATGAATTAGGTTCTGGTTGTTGTGGGTTCAACATAGTTTAAGGCATTCAGTGCCACCATCTTTTCAGGACCCTGCAACCTGGATGGCGCAGTATGTGCACAAGAACACTTTGGACAACAAAAAGATTCCGGTGACACACAGCTTGATCCTCTTCACGTCCGCGACGGATGCAGTCCTGGTGCACAACCTTTACAAGAAGGCCATGCTGGTGACCCATTTGGTGGAGCTTACTGTTCCGGCAAATGTGCTCCGAGACAACGAGGACTTTTAGTTTTCAAACACTTGATTAGCCAGTCCAAAGCAAGAGCCTCCGTCCCCAGCAACAGTAGAGGAGTTCTCTGTGCGTTGGGTATCCGGCTCCGATGCTCTGTGCACTTATTGGCTCCTGACGACAAAGTCTCCGACTGACAATTTGGTTGCGAATGTGAGCAAAGCCTACACCTGGTTGTGTGGCCAGTCGAAGGCCTTCATGCTCTCCCGTGGCAACCTGGAGGTGACTGCAGACGGCAGCTCGAGGGCCTTCAATGAGATTCTGCAGTCATTGCAGAGCAGCAGGTGCAGCTAGGGCGGGGGTTCCACAGTCCAGGGGTTGAACAATGCAAGCCATCTTGTTTAGTCGAAGTCTGCACGTGCAGAAGTAGCAGCCAGCTCGCCGCAAGGCGCAGTAAGCGTGCCAAGTCCTTGCAAAGCCAGCTCCGTGACATCAAGGCTGAGCTGGACGGCCTGAGCTATCCCGATCCTGAAACGGCCTCAGGGTCGAGCGATTCGACCGCCTGACTGTCGTCATAGTTTTCTCCGCGTGCATCGATTTGTCTCAGCATGTGGCTGGCATGTGCAGCAGATTTTGGAAGACAGCCCTGCGGCTTCATCGGTGCAACTTTTCATGTTTCGGTCAAGAGACAGAGTCGACTGAGCTCAGAGCGACAAAAGAAGTCGGATTCACTTTGTTGATGTTTCCACATGAAGTACTAGTGTTTGTGTGGGCGGGCGATCCGGTGGATGTGGGTCCATCTCCGTGTCTGAGACATTATTGCTAAATAAATGGAAGCAAGGTCCTGAGACGGCGGCTGGCCCCTGGCACTTCTGCGCTTCGTGGCATAGGCGCCAAGTCAGCTTTTCGGAGTCCTAGCCCTGAGTTAGCATTGCAGCCGCTTCCAATGTGCAAATTGGCGGTATGTGTAGAGAGTGTTCCATGGTTGTTGGAGGCAGGCCTGCTTTCTCTTCCGTCTATTCTTGCGGTCGCGGTCGCATGCTTGAGCCCCGAATCCCTAGACTCGTTTGTGTATTCGTTTGGCTGGGCTGGAAAGAACGTCCTTCAAATTAGGAGTTTAGCATGAATGTTGTGATGAGCATAGTTAACAGTGCATTCAGTGTCCGTGCACACTGCGTGCAGGATGTGTAACGATGCGGCCTGCCGGCTCCTCAGCCAGATGGGCCAGCTGGGCTTCACAATCCACGGTTGCCACCTGTAAACCGGAACATTCAAAGGGTCGGGTTTGGTCGAATGCCTTGGCCTGGTGTTAGATCTGATTGCCTCAGCCGTGTGTGGTGCATTCACACATGTTCCTTCTGACAATCTGTCTCTGACATGATGTTTTCGCAGTTTTGTTGCCTGCAGCTTGGATTAGGCTGATGCACAGACTGAGTTCCCAACATTTGTTTCGCATGTTATGCATGTCACAGGCATGACAGTCTCGGCAATTTGTTGATTTACTGCATTCGTCTACGATTTTACTTGCCAGCCTTCTTGGTGGTACTAGGGCGATCGTGTTGGATGAAGCACTGGTGATGGCTCCCAAGGGCAATCGTGTGAACTCCAGGCGCACTTTGAAGCGGCCTGCTGCCGCGAAGACTCGGGCTCGTCCAGAGCCTGTTCTCCCGAATATCACGGAGGAGAATTTTTGCTTGAAGACCTTCATCTCAGATCTCTGGCGGGCCCTTAATATCCGAAAGACGGATGAGACATCATGGTCCGTTCTCGAGGTTGCTACATCCGGCAGTGGCGTGTGGACAACGATCCATTGCTTGTGGATGATGTTGGGCAAGGCTTGGGTTCGGGAGCTCTATGCCCTCGAACAGGATGCAGTTGCAGCCCAGTTCTTGATGACAAACTTCGCTCCGCTTCATGTCTTCCAGGACTTTGTTGCACAAACCGCATGGCACAGTCCCGGGTTAAACTTCTGTAAGATTCTAAGATAAGAAGATTTCGCAGGAGGGTGTCCAGAATGACCGCAGCTTGTGGTGTTGGAAGCATGGCTGCAAGTGCACGGTGCCGGAGGGAGAGACGCTGTTCGTTGGGACGCACAATGACCGCAGCCTCCAGTCGGCGGTCATTCACGTCGCGGAGCGCAAGCCCAGAATCGCCCTCTTGACGACCGGACTGAAGCCTGTGTCTCAATTTCCGAACAGTTTCTGAAAACTTAATTAGCCGATTAGCCACAGTGCTTCTCCAGCCCAGGTGCGTCAGTGGCCGCGGCAATCAGGATCCTGAGCTCAACAAGGTCATGGAGCGCCTGAGTGCTTCGAGTGGCCCACTTGCTGCCACCAAGTGGGTGGTGGGCGATGCCTCTCCATTGCCCTGTGCGAGACAGAGGATTCTCTTCTACATCGCAGAGGCGAATATGGCTGAGAGGTTGGAGGACATGCAGAAGCGACTTCATGAGCGAGTCCAGGCCATGCCCAAGCATTGTGTGTCAAGCATGCTTCAGCCGCTGAATGTGACCTCCATTCCTGAGGAACTGTCTGTGACAGAGAAGGCCAATTTTGAATCACAGTATCACAAGGCCTTCTCGAAACAGCTTGCCAAAGCAATTCAGTGTGCCAAGCTCCCCAAGGATGTCCGGCTTCCGAAGACGCGGCCTTCGAGCAAGTTCTCCCATGCTTTGACCGCATGGGAATGTGCACAGGTCGATGTGCTCAGCCTTATGTTGGAGCACCAAATTTCCAGCGAAGGCTCCAGTGGCAACGGCAGGCCCAAGCTGGCAGATTATTCTCAGAGCCCCAACCGAGGCACGTTCTTCACCCGAGGTACTTGTGCCAACGTTTCAACGACCTCTAAGTGGTTCGAGTATGACTCGCAGACTCTCGTTTCGCCCGTCAGCTTCTTTAAGATACATGGCCATCAGATGAAGAAGCTCAAGGGATGTGAGGTGGGACATACCTTCTCGGAAGGAGATATCCGCCGCCTTGCTGGGAACGGGGTGACCTGCACCATGATGGTGTGTGCATTGACGCCTGTGCTGCTAGAGCTGGGCTATCTCGAACATGTTCCGCCGAGCTCCTAGGTCCTAGATGCTTTGTGGTCAGCAGTCGGAGCTTCATAGCCGAGGTTCAAAATTGTCTCCTGCAGAGGCTTTACTTTGCTCATGTCTTCGCACGCAGCACGAGTGTTGTCCTTGGGGCCCAACCCACATTTGCTCGCAGATGACTTTGGTTGCCAAGCTGTCGGTTTTGATTAGTTGCTTCGTGAAGCAATGTCCTCCACCGCCCCTCTTGAAGCATATTGGTCCACTTTCACAGGCTTGATGCGTCATGCTCAGGCGTGTGTCGACATCACCATGTTCTTCATTGCAGTGGATCCGGTTTTTAATGCCGTGCTTCATTATCAAAAAGAAATGCAGGCCCAAGGAATCCTCTTTCAGGGACCTAATCATCATATGCTGGCGCAGACCTGTGCTTCGAACGGGGTCCACCCCATGTGTCGGGTGATGTACACAGGCCCAAAGGGGAAGGTCGTGTTCAACCCAAAAAGTCCATCACCGTCCTTGCCAAGCAAGAATTCTGCCGTGGTGGGACAGATCACGAACCTGTCCCAGCTGAACTTGCTGGCAGCTTGCGGGGCTGATGTCATAGCAGTGGACATGCGAGAGGTACCTAAAGACTTGGAGGAGTACGTAAAGGGGAACATGCCGGGATACCAATTGGCCTTCGTGCAGCAGTATTGTTACCACAACCTCGGTGTGCCTTTGGGTGCGGAAAGCCATATCCTTGCCTTTAGCCGCCACGTTTCCAAGCAGGGGCGGGAAGGTCTTGTGCAGCTCATGTCCTTGAAGGTGCAGTGCATGGATTTTGGACAGCATGGACCTAGCAAGGAATGGATGTTGCGGGCAACATGCACCGCCGGTTCTGCTCAACCAAGCACTGAGCCAGCGGACGAACAAGGCTAGACTACTGTCCTTTTGTTTATAGACCAGCAGAGAGCTATAATAGGGTGTCGGCTTCGGGTTTGCTCAGTGTTTCGACGTCCTGTCTGAACCAGGCGAGACAGTTGGCCCTGGAGCGAAGAACAAGCGGACCTTCTCTGAATTGGTGGCCAAGGCATGTGAGAGCAGGTGGCTGCCAAGCGATTTGGATGAGAGTGTTGGTGGGAAGGTGCAGAAGCTTCTTCAGCATGTCGAGTCTGAAGCAAGCGACCTTATGAAGGTTCATTTGGCAATCTTGAAGAATCAGTCCAAGAAGCAAAAGTGGGAGAATCATGTCTTAGCGGCCGATGCCAGTAGTTTGCGCTTCAGCCACCACCGCGTGTATGTGGAAGAATTGCCCCCCATCAAGGCGAAGACTGTTGTCCTCACCTACCAGCCAGAACCCCCGAAGGGCAGGCCTAATGCAAATATTGTGTCGCATCACGAGCTGTTGAATGCACATGGCTATCCGTCTGGCACAGTCCATGTACAGATGCTGGGGCAGCAGGGTGCTGGAGTTGCAAAGTCGAGCGTAGTTCCAGCTGCAGTGGGTTTGTTCCTGTGTGCAGCCGCTGTGCTTCTGCAGCCGCAAGCCGCGGCCAGCTAGTTCTGTCGAAGGCAAGATCTCAGTCACCTAGCCTTGGCCGGCACGGATGAAAATTCTGACGGTGACAATTCTGTGCCGTGCATTGTTGCTGACTTTATGTGCGCATGATGCCTCCCAGCTTCGTTCCTCGACCGGGGAAGAATTTAGTCTAGAAATCCTTCGTGGAAAACCGAGCCGTCCCCAGACTTGCCCGTCGACGGGCTAGTCTGGGGAAGGTTGTTTTCTTGTGCGCAACGAGGTTTGTCATGCCAAGTCTGGGGCGCAGGGTCTTGACAAAGTCCACTCCGGGGCTGAAAACCAGCTCCCCCAGACTTGCCCGTTGACGGGCAAGTCTGGGGAGCTTTCCGTTTCCCACAAGATAATCTCAGACTAGAATTATGTGCCGGGGCATTTCTCCATCGAACTGAATCAGGATCTCCTCTGCGAGCGAGCTTCGCTTGCAATAGTGATGGCATCTACCCGTCGTTGTTCTGGTAAGCAGGCGCCCGGACAGAATGCAGGCAAAGCTGCAGTGACTCTGCCCCACCCTGTCAATGACATGATGCTGGAAGCAGCCAAGACCGTGAAGCTGGAGGCCTGGCAGCCTGCAGTCGTGGCTTGACCCATGCTCCTTTATGTTTCCATGATGCACTTGTCAGGCAGGCTTGGGTGACCCATGCGACATGGGTGGTGTGCTCGCGATCGATGCCACGGCCTACAAGCAAACCTTGAAGAGAGACCGGGAATACACATGCAACATTACCTTCGACAAGTTCTCTCTTCTGGCTTGGGCGCATCCTTCTATTCCTCCGAACCAAGGCTCTGGACTGCACATTGTTTTGCCCATCCTTGCTTCTTAGTATGCTGTCCTTTTCTGCAGGATCCGTGAAGATCATGCAGCACAGACATTTCACCGAGCCGGACGGAAGCATCAAAGCCCCACCGACGTGGGGCGAGGTGCTGGTGGTCCGGGCAATGGATGAGTCCCAGCCACCCACGATTATGGAGGTTCTGAACGGGGATGCCTACCGCCTGGGCCTTTGAATATGTCGGTCCTTGGAATAGGTTCCTTGCTAAACCGTAAAGCTTCAAGCAATCATTCCCTGCGATGCCAAGGGGCAGCTTTCTTGATCAGTTGGGCGGCAGCGCCTGCAGATTCAAAGGTGGCGAAGCAGAAAGAATCCTTGGCACGAGCTGTCCGGGTGACTCGTCTGTCGTCTGTCTCGCCTCGGCTGAATCGCACCTCTGTTCCTTATCCGTGCTAAAGGTCAAGTTCGTTCTTCTGGCGGATGCGGCAATGGTTGAGCGGAAGAAGTGGGAATTGGCCGAAGAAGTAGGCGCTGCAGTCGTCACAGTGTTCTAGGACCAAGGGAAATTTATGATTGTGGAGCCTTGTGCAACAGGTGATGCCCGAGAGAGCCTCACCTTGCAAGGGTGGAGAAAGATTCTTGGCATGGCCGTTGTGGAGTCCACCTTGAAAGGCATGGGCCGTCCCTCCAATGCGGATGCATTGGAGAAATGGTGCCCTAGTTGCAGCTCGCGGCTTGTGAAACTTGCATTCATACAGTGTCCAGGCAAGAACAGCTCACTTAGGTTCGGAGAGGGCAAGATTCGGGGGATGAGTGCCAAGAATATCTCGAAGTGTTTGAAAATTCACAAGCGGCTTACAGCTGCAGATGCTCGTGCACAAGAGATCATTGCTGAGTTTGATGATCGGTTTGGCAGCAGGCACACGCTAGCATCGCAGCAGAACCTGGACATCCTCGTGACACGCACACATGTGAGTGGCAACGAGGCCGTGTCGAGACAGCTGCTCCTGTGGTGTTTGGAACACTTCGAGAATGATGTTCAGCGTGGTACCGTGAGCTTTGATGCGGCCAAGGCGGCCTTTAACCTGGCCGTGTCCAGGAGCCTCTTGAAGAAACGTCTCATCAATTATGTCAGCAAGAGAGTCACCATGCCGGCGAAGCCAACAGACGGTGTCGCTATCCCCACAATCGACAGCATTTTCGGCACCTTTGCGAAATTCCGGAACAGCGGGCTCGATCATGGCAGCACCCTCGTGATGACGTGGAGGGCGTCTATGCCTTCCTACCTGCAGGACACATTCGATTTCCTGACCAAGCTCATGCGTGGAGGAGGCCCCCTTGACGAGAGCCTCGAGACCTTTCTCCAAAAGGATTCCTTGGTTTCAGCCGAACTGGTCTTGAGGGCTCAGTCTATGAAGGATCACTTCGACATCGTGGCTGTCACGCAGGCGGCCAGCCAAACTGCACAAGACGAGAAGGCAGCGTCGGCGCCGCCACCCGTTGCTCCACCTTCCCCGCCAAAGCCAGAATCGACAACGGCACTTTCGCCGCCGGAGCTGCCTGAAGATCCTGAGGTTTCTGCTGAGGAGTGGCTGTGTAAGCACTCACATAAATGTGTGTGTGTGTGTCCGAACGAATGCATGCACCAGTGCCAGGACTTGATTGAGGCAGCTGAGCATCCACAACGCCTCGATCGAAGCATCTACTTTGACTCTTTGCCCTTGTCGTCTGTAGCCAAGGACATTCTGAACAAGGTTCCGGACGACAGTCAGTTTGAGCAAGTGCTGGAAACGGCACGATTGCGCAGCTTGACTCCTATGTGGGATCACATTACATGCTCTGACTCACAGCTTTGCCCATAGGAAGCAGGGTGTTGCACAGGTGCCAACACATTCCTGGACTTGCGTGTCTGGCCCACTGACGCGACCAACTTGAGAGCTGCTTTGCAATCCATTCCGGATGCACAGAACAGGGTCTACATCTATGACACCAAGAATGAGACGAAAGACACTGGCCGGGTGGCGAGCTATGCACCGTATCGTCGTCCCCCAGCCCTGGAGAAGAAGAACATCAAGATTGTCGGCGAGGCTTTGTGCCTTGACCCTATATAAACGACTGAGCAGTTGAATGCCTTATGAGGGTGTGCAGTCAGTAGTCTGAGGTTTGGGGACCCCGCATTGGCGAAGGACAGCTCCAGAGCTCACCCGGTGATCTTTCGTGCCTGCGACATGTTTGTCTGCATGGATGGCAGATCCCCTTCGAACCAGAAGCAGATCACAGCCGAGCTTACCCGATGCATGAAGCCACATGCGAGCATGTTCCCCAAGCTGGCCAACGGCTTGATCACAGTCCGCATGCTCTACCACTGTCGGGAATTTGAGGGATCGGGGCGATTGGCGATGGCCAGGCGAACGTGTTTGACCCAAACATGCCCAGACCCGATGGAAACCATGGTTGTCATTCAACCCAAGGCGTACACGCTTCCGCAGCGGGCACTGCCGCTTGTCCATAGTGACTCCTATTCCAGAGCTTGGACAGGCCTGGGATTGAGAGACCCGAGCGATATGGAGTTGACGACCATGCTTGATGCGAGCAAGCTCCTGCCGAAGACAGAGAAGCAGAAAGCGGCTGCGGAGGCAGCCGAGGCTGGCACGGATGATGCCGAAGAAGTTCATGCTGTTTCAGACAGTGATGATGGTGCTGTGGACGGTGCAGGCAGCCAGGCTTCAGAGTGTGAGCCCGCAAGAGGTGTTCTCTTGTGGCCGTGGGCGTCTTCCGAGGATGCCTGGACAAGCATTTACACGGCATTCCACCTGGTAAGCCCGTCTCAGACCTGGATCATTGATTTCACAGCAGGGTGTGGCCTTGCGGCTCTCGCGGCCGTGAGGGGTCGCTTTCACTATGTCGGCTTCGCCACTTCGGAGGTCCACTTGAAGTTTCTCCGCCAATACGTGATGTTCCGCATCGTCTCCGAAATGGTGTTGAATGTGGATCCACACGCATGGAATATTCGCAAGCGGATTCTGTGCCGTGAGAACAGTTTGACTGGCTCTAGCACTACGGAGTCCAATGCTGAGACTCTTCCGCCAAGGACCTTACTTATCTTGTGAGTATGTCTGCAGATTCAAGTGTAACTTTTGAACATGGCCAGGACAGACGCTGACGGAGCTGTGAAGAAGGAGGTGGATTCTCCTAAAGGCTCTGCCCCTAAAAAGACTAGGAAGAGTAGCAGCACCAGCAGCAGCAGCAGCAGCTCCTCCTGATTTTCGATGGAGTCCGACACTGACAGACTCCAGTGCGATTTTGAGTCAAAGCTCTCATGAACAAGATTCCAAACTGCTTCTGGGGTCGCCAGTGTTTCTGCAGAAGCTGCTGGGTTTTGGAACCGGCACGGTTGCCCTGCAACCACGGCACGCACAGACTGTCGTGTCGATTCTCCATTTCGCAACTGCCGAGCTGAAAAGCGCTAAATCCATGCCCGCTTTGCTTATCATGTCTGCCCTTGGTTGTTCTGGGCTGTTTTTGCTTGCTGCAGAGTGACCTCTGATTACCTCTCCTTGACCTCTGCCGGACCTCTGCTTTGTTTCCTGGCGCCATGGGGAAATATGTTCGGAATGCGAAATTGGGTGTCAGCCGCCCGAGGAATGCTTACTCGTCCTTTTGCAGCCATGCCAGGCGGCATGGTGTGCATCCAAAAATGAAGACGCGGATCCGTGGCAAGACCATTTCGTTCGAGCGTGGCAGCTGCAGTGCCAAGTGGTCCGGGCCCCAGACTACAGCACAGCTTCAAGGAAGACTAGTCTAGTAGGTGCAGACAAAAGATGTTCGCTCAGGCAGTCCATGACAGAAGCAGAAAAAGAACCTTTCTATCAAGACGCCGCGAAGCAGAAAGCCTTCAACAAGGCCATGCCGCTTTGTTCTTTCACCAGCCTCAGGCAGCCTCCTGTGCAGGAACTTCGAGCAGAGGCACTCGGTCGGGAGAACGACACGGACAACGAGCCAGAGGTCAGTCTTTGAGTGTCAACGTCAGTTCAGGTTTTCTCTTGCATTGGTCGTGGGGCCGTCCAGGTCCACGATGATGCAAATCGCTTTGTGGGAGAAGCCCGACCCGAGCCCGTGCAAATGGCTCACATCAGCAACCGCTTGGAGGTCATGGAGGCATTGGGCGAAGGGGGGTATGGCTTGGTGCGCCGGGTGACGGACCGAGCCATGTCTGTCTTGAGATGTGTCTGGTAGTGAACTCAAGCATGGAATCTGATGCTACAAGTTTGACTCTCAGGATACACGGGAGTGTCTTACGCCTGCAAATTCCAACAGCCAGAGGCATCGTGTCCTGAAGCCACGGGGGAGAGCATCATCACAGAGGACGAATATCTTCGCCGAAGTGCACACCCTCATGTGATCCGTACCTTTGGTCTGGTCTCCCGGCCCAACAATTCCACGACAGGGGTTGGGCTCCTGATGGAGCTTGCAGAAGGCTGTTTCGTTCACCATTGCCGCGAGTCCTTGCCGCCTGTCATCAAGTCATGGGGATATGTTCATCAGATACTACAGGGTCTGAGCTACATCCACTCCAACCGCATCTTGCACGTGGACTTGAAGCCACACAACGTACTGGTCTGCAGGGCGAGTGATGGAAGTGCGATCTTGAAGATTTCGGACTTTGGCCTGGCCGTAAAGCTGCCGGGCGACCAGCTTGGAGTCATGCTTCCTGGACGAGAAGTTTGCACACAGAACTACAGGCCTCCTGCAGCAATGATTGCTGGCTCCAGCAAGGCGCGGCCACCGTACTATAGCAAGTCTTGACACTGAAATATGCCTGACAGCAGCCTTGTGCAGGTTTGGGTGACGGCATCCACAGATGTATTCGCGATGGGCTGCCTGGCTTTCTTTGCCTTCAGCGGGGGGCATTCCTTGTTGAAGGAGAACTACAAAGAACATGTGCTCGCAGCATCGGCCGCTGGACGTGTACAGAAGCTGTTGGATGAAAAGATTGCTTTGAGATCGAAGCAATGCCTGCGCCCAGACCATGAGCATTCACAGCAATCTCAGATAACTTTTGTCTCCAAGTGTGTCCGTGCAACATGCCGGCAGCGAGAGACAGTTCCAGCATTGCTGGTGCGATGCCAATTGGCATTGGAGAATCTCGTGCGGGCGTGATTTGCCGCTGGCTCTACCAGCCGAGCGGCACAGTGTATGCACTCGCAGAGGGGCTGCGAAATCAGAAGCCGTGCTCCCATGCTTGATGTTTTCTTGCAGCCCAAACCATTGCCATTGCAGAGTGCTTGTTGATGTTTTCGCTCAGGCTCGGCCGCCTCTATCCATGGAATCTCGTGGGACGCCTGGGCCCAAGGAGGCTTAGTGTGTGCACTTCTTCACCCGCGAGGCTTTCCTACTTAAGCAAGTGGGGCAGTCAGGATCGAGAGATGAGAGATGTCGTAAACAGTTATCTTGCAGCAATGCCATGGTCTGTCAATGGCACGGATAACTCCGAAGTGAAGGTTGGGCTTGGGGAATGATTCCGCAGCAATGCGATAGTTGGGCTTAAGGGGTTCCGCAGCAATGCGATAGTTGGGTTAAGGGGTTCCGCAGCAATGCGATAGTTGGGTTAAGGGGTTCCGCAGCAATGCGATACTTGGGGCTGGGTTGTTCCGCAGCAATGCGATAATCCACTTTCGCAGCAGTGCGATAATTAGCCACAAGAATATTGTAGTCTATATATGGGTGTAGTGACCGCTACAGTTGCTCTTCAGACAAGTTGTGCCAGGTGCGAAACACTCTGCCGTGTCTTTGGCCACGCCGGCCAAGTTGGGTGGACCTGTGATTGGGGCCTGTGAAACTCTGACCTCGAAGCCCTAAGCCCTAAGCCCCGCAAACAAATCAAGAACCGGCCGAAACCAAATACCCTTTACTCCCTTTACCAAATCTCAGCTCTAAATAGGCTCCCCGGGTCCTCTTGTACCCTGCAGGGTATATACTCACCTACAGCCCAACGACCCATAGTCTCGCATCACTAAATGCCCGGAACAATCCCAGATGAAATTGCCCCGTTGAAGTCGAAACCGTGAATTTCGCAGAAGAAGCCTTCCCCTTTTCAGATCCTCCTCAGCTCCTTGGGGCTCTTTAGGTTTGGTGCCAGGACAGTTGCAGGGTTACAGGGCGTTGGATAGGGGGTGGTGTGGAGGCCTTCTTAGCGTGATAGGTGTTTAGTTCAGATCAGATCTAGAATCTGTGCACGAAGTCGGCAGGTCCCTATAATAAAAAGCATCATAGAAGATCTTCTGCGAGTGCTGAAGCATGCCATGGAAGCCGAGCAAGAGCGTCTGCTGCAACGATTACGGGATGCAAGACAAGCCTCCCTGCAACCAACACGGCAACACTGCGAGCTGCGTGGCGACCAGCAGGAGAGCGATGAAGAGCATGCAAGGACCTGTGGGAAAGGTCTATCATGCTCCTTGCTTGCACAGCCCTGTGCCTGGCTAGGGGCTTTTCAATTCAATCGCAGAGAGTCTCAGTTCAGTTGTTCATCCAGGCACCCGCTGCTATTTCGCAGCTGGTTTCTTGGGTGGCTTGCGGCGGGGCAGCAAGAAAGTCTGCCCTCTGTTGAAGCAGCATGCCTGGAGCGAGAAGTTCCAGTTCAAGCATGCAGCTACAGGACCGGACTTGCCTAAAAAAAAACTGACTAGTTGCTTACAGAGCAGTTGTGCTAGGAGAGATGAGAACGTGGCTGACACAGCGTCCGCCTTCGTTCTCTGGCCCTTGGGCGTTTGGGTGCTGGCTGTGTAACTCTTTCGATGGCAAGCCGCTCGTGCTGCAAGCAGCACCAAAATGGTTCCTGAAGTATTGTTATCTCGACAGGCATGTCCAACACAACCCAAGGTCCAAAAGTGCTTTCGCCAACTTGACCGTGACCAGCAAGGACATGCTGCAGAGTTCAGCTTTGACCGACCACGCAGGGGGCCTGCATCACCAGAGGGCCTTGTTACAGGTGGAGGCAACAAAAAATGAGGATGCATCGTCCTGGGATTCCTGCACACCATCATTGAGCCGTTTCTTCATGGCTGCCACCATAGTTGGCAGGCACGACAGCTACGAGGATCGGTCAATCCGGGAGCCGTAGCATTGCAGGGCATGAATAAAACAATTCCTGAGACAGGACTTCCGCCAGTTCTGCAAGTCGCAGGACGTGCAGAGTGACAACAGCACACGTGTGTGCAGACAACTAGTCACTGCAATGAGCACCGTCGTGGCAGAGCTCGACCGTGCGGTTATCGCACAGGCAACAGTGGGGTAAAAGTTCCAAGTCAATCAAACCGTACACCCCACCAATAACCCTAACACATACTAAACCATAAACCTCACCCGGAATCCGATTCAAACCTGCCAGTCCAACATGGCCTGCCTCTGCCTCGATGAACGCGATGGGATCGTTCTCGTACGAGCCCGCTTCTTCTATAGAGGCCAGCAAGTGACGTGACAGGACATGTGCAGACACTGCCTGCGGATGTTTGCTTTGCTTTGGCAGGCTTGAAAGGCACCAGTCTCCCTCGCATGGGCGTCTACCAGTGTTTGCTCGGCATAGCTCGTGATTTCGGCCCCAGCCCTGTGCCCTGGCTCGGATTATGCCTCTGATTACCTCTCCTCGACCTCTCCTCGACCTCTCCTGGTTTTAGACAGTCTTGTGAGATTCTCCGAGGATAATGTCAAAGCAGCTGTGAATGCCGTGCTGAAGGCGGCCGCGACAGTGAAGCGTGGCATGCGTGAGAAGGACGGCCAATCTGGAGCCCAAGATGTTGTGGACAAGGAATTGCACCATCATCTGAAGGACAAGGGTTGGAAAAGAGCTTCATTTAATTTAATGATATCATAGCAGAATAGAATGTCTGTGATTTGTCCCCTGCAGAACATCATAACTTGTGCGGTCGCAGATGGGGGCCCGGCAGAGCAAACGGCCCTATCCAAAATGTCTGACTTGTTGCCTCGTCTTCAACACGTTGTCGTCGACAGGGCACATCGCATGCGAAACTTGCAAAGGGGAGCCTGGCCTTTTTTGGATGAGCTGTCAGGTGGGCTTCTGCAGCTTCTAATCACAGGCGAGGCCAGTCTGGCTCGCATGTTGGAGGATTCAGGCAAGTACCGAATCTTATGGGCGGAATCGCAACAAAAGGAGTTCAGTCAGGCACTCCGGAATTTCAGCTATGCAAAGCAGAGGTTCAACAGCTTGAGCATGCCATTGTTCAAGCTTCTCAGCAGCTTGAAATCCGTATATGCTTTCCTGGTGCAGCTGGCTGCAGAAGGCGATCGTGACGACCGGCGTTTTGCAGAGACTTTGTTGACAGAGCTGTCTGGCCGAAGTGCATTTCAGCACTTGGTAAATGCCGCTCTGGCAGCCGATTCGATGTTGATTGGCCAGCGCTTCTTGCGGCTCGCGGACACTGACAATGACGAGGCCTGTGTCACGGCACAGCAGGCAGGCCCCGGCTAAATTGACACTTCTGCTAGCCGAGTCCAAGCCTATGAGTGCACACCTTTATTAAGTGCCAACAGCGAATTGAACACAGCACAAATCCCAGCAGGCAGCGGAGACGATCCACACGATGGAACACATGTTTGACAAAGGCGGCGTATTCTTGCCGAGTGCAGCAGCTACTGTTACACAGACCGTGATCCGCACCCTCCAAGATATCGGTATCATAACTTTTCTTGGGAATCGTACCACGGGTAGCCGGGGCCCTCGCCCACTCAGGGCGGTAGCTGTTTGGGATGTCTCCGAAGGCGACCTCACGGAATCTCGACAAGTGGCTCAGAAGGTGTACAGAATCTACAAGGCCTTTTTTGATTCAAATTTTCCTCGCCATGAATATAGCAATGCTTTTGCTGCTATGGACTTAGAAAATGATCTGACGCTGTCCCAGCGGGGAGAACTGGTGCAGTCTATTGCCCAACAGAACCACATGGACGGTGCGAAAACCTGGTGAGCCCATGCATTAGAAGGCACTTTGTTTGGTGGTAGCTTTAAGTCTTGTATGAAGTTGTTTGTTCTTTTGATATTGTCTTCCAGCCCACATTTCCAGGAAGCAGCTGAGCGGCGGAGGTAGCGATGACGGGCTTGGTGCTGGCGGCCTGCTCGCCAGAGCGTTCTGGCATCTGAAGGAACAGCGTCAGGGCTCCAACAATGCCTGGTTGGCCACACTTCGAGAGCTTCGGAAGGAGCAGGCCGCGGTGCGCTTGGAGGCATGCTGGCTGGTGCAACACACTTTGACTATTGGAACGTCCACGGCATCAGTCGAACGGAATCTGCACGAAGTTTCTGTCACAGAGTTGAAAAACAGAGCTCACAGATTGCACATCTACGCTCTTCAAGACGCGGTGAAGTTGAGTGTGCATGGGTGCGCTTCTGCTGACAGTCTTCGGGACGGCAGGGATGCTAGTGGCAACTGGAAGCCTTCCAAGTTTGCTTTGCAGGCACAGGCTGTATATAAAGAGTTTTTCGGTGCACGCGAAACTGAGCAGCGAAAAAGTGGAGCTTCGGGATCGGACAAGCCACGCCTGGCTGGACTTCGTGAGGCAAACCCACAATCCGTACGGGCCAAACTGCAGGCACACTCCAGGTGCATCTCGTCAACGGTTGCTGGCATGCAGAAGGAAACTTTGCAAGATGGGCCCAGGGCATCTTCAAGCAATCGACGGTTGGATGAGATTGTCATTGCTGTGAGCGAGGTTACTGCTGTCAGAAGTGGTGTTTCTTCAGCGGCATCTTCTGCTTGCCCTCCGAATCCGCCCTGCAGCAGTGGCAGTGCACCAGTGGACAAATGCGAGGAGGAGAACAAGCGGGAGAAGACGAAGGACAAAAAGGAGAAGAAGGGCAAGAAAGACAAGAAAGACAAGAAAGACAAGAAACACAAAAAGGACAAGAAACACAAAAAGGAGAAGAAAGACAAGAAGAATGCAACCGACCCTGCATCTTCCCACAAGAAATCGCTGGAAGAGATAGAGGCCGAGCAGGACATGGTTGCAGCGAAGAAGCGGAAGGTGGCGATGGCAACAATGGCAACCCCCTTGGGCGAGAAGGTGCCTCATGTCGACGTGCGCGGCGGGGTTTTTTTGCAATCCATCGACAAGCAGCTGGAGTCGTGCAAGAAGAGTACCGAGCGGGCACC